TTGAATTCCCCAACTAAAAGATATAGACTCGCTTAATTAAAAAAAAAACAAAAACAGGAGCTCTCTCTATACTGTTTACAAGAAATACACCTCATTGGTAAAAACAGACACAGATTGAAAGTGAAAGTCTAGAAAAAGTCATTCCAAGCAAATGGAAATAATTTTTAAAAACTAAGGATGTGATACTGATATTAAATAAAACAGACTTCAAAGTAAAGTCAATCAAAAGAGACAAATATGATTGCTGTACAGTATTAAAGGGATTAATTTGCCAAGAAGATATAATGATTATTAATGTTCACACATCCAACGTCAGAGCACCCAAATACATAAAACAAAGATGTAAAGAGAGAAACAGATTGTAACACAGTAATTGTTGGGAATTTCAACACCCCATTCACCTCTGGACAGATCAACTAAATTAAAAGTAGACACAGAGCTGACACCACTTACAGAACATTTCACCCAACAGCTATAAAATACACATTTTTCTCTGCCCCACAGGAATATTTTTGAAGACTAACCACACGATGGGTCACAAAACAAACTTTACAAATGTAAATGAATAGAAATCATATCTAGTGTCTTTTCTGCCCACAATGGAATTAAATCTGAGAACAACAACCAGAGATTTTGAAAATACATAAATACATGGAAGCTAAGTAATTTACTTCTGAACAACTTTGAAACTACTGAAGAAATTAAGAATGAAATTTAAAATTTTCTTAAAACAAAAAATATCAAAGACACAATTCTCCAAAATCTCTGGGACACAGGAAAGCAGTTTTTTTTTTTTTTGAGAGGTTTTCGCTATAGGGCACGTGCGCTTGGCAGACAGACAGAGAGAGACATAGAGACAGAAAGCGAGAAGTCATCCCCCAGGGGGGATGGTCACGCCGCAATCCCTTCTCCATTCTCCTCTTGGGATCTTGGGCACACACGCACACGCGGCCGGCGTGAGATTTAAGCCACCGGGTCTGAGACTCGAACCGCAGTTGACTACGTGGGAGTCCAGCGACATAGCCATTATGCTAACTGCTGGTTCCCAGGAAAGCAGTTTTAAGACGAGTTTATGGTAGGGCCGGCAGGTGGTGTGGTGGTTAAGGGCGCTGGACTCCCACATGGCCAACCCTGGTTCAAGTCTCAAACCTGGCTAGATTTCTCACCCTCTCCTCACTCTATCACTCTCTCTTGCATGCTCTGTCCCCCTCTGGTCAAGTTAAAATAAATAAATAAATAATAAATAAATAAAACAATTCTTTAAAGAAAAGAGTTTATAGCAAGTAGTGCTCACGAGAGAAAAAAAAAATTAGACAGCAAATAAATAACCTAACTCAAGAAACTGGAAAAGAACAAAAAGTAATAGAAGAAATAATAAAGGTTAGAGCAGAAATTAATGAAAAGAGAATAAAACAATACGAAAAAAAATCAATCAAACAAAAAGCTGGTTTTTTGAGACGATAAACAAAAAATTGACAAATCATTCACTAGACTATTGACAGCTATCTCATCTCATCTAATCTTACACCTTAATGAACTGGAAAAAGAACAAACTAAACCCAAAACTAGGAAGGATGAAATGAATATTATAAAAGAGAAATAAAATAGAGAACAGAAGAACAACAAACCAAAGTATACTCACAAATGGTTAAAATGGTAAATACCACTAGGTATATTTTACCACAGTAAAAAAATTTAAGGTACCAAGAAATGGGGAGAATACACTATTAACAGCTCCAATGACAGCTCCATCAGCATAAAGATCCTTCTCAAAATTAAAAGTGATCAAATATTACTTATCAAATGTGAAAATAATTCATCACTCTAAAAAGAAAAGAAAAGAACAAATGTTAGCAAACGATGTGGAGAAATCAGAACCCTTGTGCATCGCTGGTGGTAGAAGTGTAAATGATGCAGCCACAGAAAACAGTTTGACGGTTTTTCAAAAAATTAAACATACGATCCAACAACTCCAATTCTAGGTATATACCCAAAAGTACTGAAGCAAGGACTCGAACAGGTATTTCTACACAGATATTCATGGCATTACTCATAGTAATTAAATACTAATACGTACAACATGGACGAACTTGAAAACGTTATCTGAGTTAGCCAGACACAAGAGGGCACCTATCGTATGATTTCATTTAAATAATGTTCCTGAAGTAGGCAGATTCAGAGACAGAACGGTGGTTGCCAGGGGCTGGCAGAAGAGAGGAGTGGAGAGATATTGAACGAGTGCAGTTTCTGTTTGGGACAATGAAAAAGTTCTGCTGATGCATGATGGTGACGACTGCACACCATTGTATGAAATGTACTTATGCCACTACACTGTGTACCTACAAATGGTTAGAATGGTAAATACCATTAGGTATATTTTACCACAACAAAGAAATTTAAGGTACTTAGAAATGCAGAGAATATACTATGAACAGCTCCAGTGACAGCTGTATCAGTAAAAAGATTCTTCTTAGAATGAAAAGTGATCAGATATTACTTGCCATCTTGTATCTGGCAAAAGTAACTGGCATCACTTTTCTTTTAAAAAAGAGAGATTTTTGCTACAGGGTGCGCACGCTCGTCAGAGAGACGGAAAGAGTCAGAGAGACAGTGAGAAATCACCCCTGAGGGGGATGGCCATGCCACAATCCCCTCTCCTCCATTCACCTCTCGGGATTCTAAGCATGCACGCACATGCATCCAGTGTGCACTTCAAGCTGCTCCATCTGGGACTCAAACCGCAGTCGTCCATGTGGGAGTCCAGCGACATACCATTATGCTATCTGCTGGTCCCAACATCACTTTTAATTATATCAATTGAAAATGAAGTCGTTTAAAGCATAAATTTGAATGATACATAAATGAATTTTCAAAAAAGCAAATTAAAAAATCTTGTGATCAAAATATCACATCTTGGGACCAGCAGTTGGCATAATGGCTATGTTGCTGGACTCCCACGTAGTCAATCGCGGTTTGCATCCCGGACCCGGTGGCTTAAAACTCACATTGGGTGCGCGTGTGCATGCATGCCCAAGATCCCAAGAGGAGAATGGAGGAGAAGGGATTGTGGTGTGGCCATCTCTCCTGGGGGGTGATTTCTCGCTTTCTGTCTCTATGTCTCTCTCTGTCTGGTGAGCACACGCGCCCTATAGCAAAAACCTCTAAAAAAAAAAAATCACGTCTTAAGTGTTATACAAAATGACACCAAAAATATTTTTAAATTTATATTTACATTGTTACTCATGTATAACTATTACCCTATTATATCTTACCAATAATTTAAATATTTTCAAGGGAAAAAGCTTTACATTTAGTATGTTTTTCCTTTATTCGTGATGGTGAAAAAAGAAAGAGCACACAGCACCCTCCACAGGGGCTGGTCCTCTAGCCCGTGGGCTCTTGGGCACTCACACACATGCTTGGTTTGTTTCAGGCTGATCAAGCAGGGAACTCAAACCACGGTCATCAGGTAGGCTATGGCTTCTCCTGAGCACCTTGGCCATGGTGCCATAGAGCCACTCTATATACTTAGTATATATATATATATATATTTAAATTATTAATTATTATTATTATTATTTTAATTGTTTTTACCAGATACAGACAGACAGAGAAGGCAAGTGAGAAAGCAAGCTGCCAGGTCTGGGACTCAAACTACAGTCAACCATGTGGGAGTCCAACATCTTAGCCACTATGCCACCTGCCAACCCCCTTATTATCTTTAACAACACCTTTTTCCTGCCTTTTGAAAAAGAGCGCTGCATTTGTGCTTTGACTGGGCCCCACAAATTATGTAGCTGGCTTGGTTCCGGCTTTCCTATTGATGGCCTGCCCAGCTTTCGCATCATCTAATCTTTGTGTCTCGGTTTTCTTACCTTTCGAATGGGAATGATACTTACTCTGCTTCATAGGATTGATGTGTGTGTGTGTGTGTGTGTGAGAGAGAGAGAGAGAGAGAGAGAGAGAGAGAGAGAGAGAGAGAGAGAGAGAGAGAGAGAGAGAGAGAGAGAGAGAGAGAGAGAGAGAGAGAGGGGGGGGGGGGGGGGGGGGGAGGGAGGGAGAGAGAGAAGGAAGGAGGGAGGAAGTGGAAAAAGTATGGGTGCTTTAAAATACTGAGTGGCACTGTTGTTAACCTGAATCTATTCTAACCAGTATATTTTCTGGAGTCTGGATCTTTAGACAAATACATATCTTATCTAAAATGAAGAAATTTAATTCATTGTTTTATGAGGCTTTCCAGACATTTGATAAAGAAGTGAAGTGATTCATTTGGTTCATAAAGGTATCATTTTTATAGACTAGTGATTTCACAGATGGCATTTTTTTTTCACGTGACTAAAAGTAAACTATAAACTAAAAGTGATGCCAAAACACCAGACTTCAGTGAACAATCTTAAAGCCTAGAATCTCACATAGCCTTTCTGATACACCTCAAAACAAAGACAGTGCCCTGAGAACTACCCTTGGGCCACGGGCAGATCTTATCTTCTGATCTAAAGCTGCTGCCCATAGGAAAGAACGTCCTGAGCTCTGCCAGGTGGGAGGATCTGAGGGTTAAAGCCCAGCAGGGGCCAAGGCAGAAGCAGATCTGCAATTTGCACTCCCTGAGGTATGCTGGGAGCCCATTCTTTTCATTACATACTGACCCCTGGTAACAGTGACACTGTCACCCCACCAGCTTGGAATTTAACTCCTGAGCCCTCTACACACCTTCTGGAATTGCCCTAGAGACCATGCCTAGGTTACTGGCTTAGAGGTACAGCAGGGACCTTGGGGTCAGCTCTCCAAACCTGTAAATGACCAGTGGGTTAACAAGGGGACAGAAGATTAGGATCCTATTCCCAGGGACCCCTATGTCCTTAGCAGTAAGCCAATGCTGCCCTCCTCCAGGGTTGTGGAATCCACTTTGAAGGCTCCCTCTCCTTGGCCATCCCTCAGAGAGGCCCTCCCACTGTCTGACCTTTGCCCTTTGTAATTGCTCTATCTCATCCAGCCTCCATAGCTGTGTTTAAAGTCCACCTCTGGGGAACACAGATTGAGCATTCCAGATAACCCCTTTCCCAGCCTGCCTGAAACCCGGCCAGCCAGCCGGCTGTGTAGCTGGGCCACCTGGGATACTGGCTGGGGTTCGAGGCCAGAGCTCAGTACCCACCTGGCAGCAGGATGAGGCTGGCCACCAGCTTCTTGATTCTGTGGTTCAGCCTTGGGGGTGGCCTGGCTCAGAGTGACACTGACTCAGAAACAGAGGAGTCCTACTCGGACTGGGGGCTCCGGCAAATCCGGGGCAGCTTTGAATCTGTCAACAGCTACTTCGATTCCTTTCTGGAGCTGCTGGGAGGGAGGAATGGTGTATGCCAGTACCGGTGCCGATACGGTGAGTGTGCAGGCCCTCCCGAAACCCTCTCTGGTGGGCCGTGGGCAGCATTGGCGGGTCATGACCTATCGCACACTTCTTCCTGCTATCTACCGCTTAGCTAGGGTTCCAGGCTTAGCAAACAGAAATATAGGCCGCCCAGTAGAATTTGGAATGCAAACAAACAGAGCATTTGGTAGTATAAGTACATCCAGTGAAATACTTGGGACATACTTATGCTGAAAAATTATTCATTGCTTATCTGGAACTCAAATTTCATTGAGCTTCCTTTACTTTCTCTGGGAACCCTTCCCTGGGGTCATTTTAGTGGGTATGATGTGAGACAGATAATTAAGAAAAGGCAGTGTGGGGTGAGGCGAGTTTCTAGGGGAGAAAATCAAACAGTCTGAGAAAGTTCTACCGGGGTGAAGCACCCTCCTCGGGCTCTCTGCCAGCTTGGAAAGCGTTTTTCCTTCCCTACCTGCAGTTCACACCTTCCTCACTGCTCAGTCTGACTGACACCAGGATGCCCAACTCTCCCAAGGGAGCTTCCCCACCCTGCCAGGGCAGCCAGCTGCAGTAGGAAAGGCTTGCCACCCACCAGGAACCCGAGGGCACTCCTCAGGCCTGGTGCCAGCTGCAGCTTGTGAGCCAGAAGTGCTTTCTCTATCTTGCCTGGGTTGTAAAGTGGTAGGAAGAGCTGGGGTCCACGCCTGGCTGCCCAGGAGGCGGCCCTGGTGCCAATTCTTCCTTCACTCTGCCCTTCAGACAAATACATTTTGAAAAATCCAAAATGAAGGAATTTAATTCATTATTTTCGATGAAGCTTTCCAGACATTTGAAAAAGAAGCTAAGTGATTCATTTGGTTCCTGAAGGTATCATTAATGTAAAGGGAGTAGAATGGGGAGACCCGGGCCTTGGTGACATGAAAATGTTTCTGAAAGCAGACACACAGTCATGGAGTGTTTCGTTTTATGGTTTAGTTTATCAAATGTCCCATCATGGCATTAGAAATGAAAATGGTGAGTCAGTTTAACCAAGCAGGAAAACATTCTAGAGACATGTTTTCTCCACACCCTCGATAGATAAAACTCAACTTTCAGAGAGACTCAAAAGGACATACTTGCTAGACTCACCCTTAAGTCACTCTCACCCTTCTTATATTTGGGCAGGGGAAACTGCTTCCTTATGTGCCAAGAGCCTAGGAGATAAGGAATAACCACGCTCCAGAACTGAAAGTGCACAGCATAGACGTTTTAAACACCTATGGTTATGGTGAAAAAAGGTCACTGCATCTTCTCTATGCAAGGCCCCCCGAGTAAAAATCCTGATCCGTTAGGACTCTGGGGCCCTACGCTGTGTATTTGTCCTAGGTGGGCTGGACAAATGCAGAGGCCCCTACACTGGGTTATGGTTAACCCCAGGAAGGGGTTAGCTCTCTTCAGGCATTCTGGTCAACACAGGTGTTTTTCTGCCTGGGCAACACAAGACTAGTATCTGTGGTTTAGCAAACTCAATCTCTCTTCTTCCTTCTCCAGCAAAATAGTGCTAAGATTTCAGTAAGTTTTCACAGCAGAGTCACTGGCCAGGCAGGGTCGAGGTCGCAACAACTGATGGGGGATGGGAATAGTCAACAGAGGACAGGAAGGCAAATAATTCCTCTCTGCAAAACAGAACCTGCTGGAAGAGGGAATCTGAAAAACACTTAGGAAAAGAGTGGGGAAGACTAAGTTCAGAACTCAGTGGAGCAGAGAACCTAGAGGCCGACCAAGAAGTACAAAATACCTTCTCAAGTTGATTTTGACCCGAGCAATCTTTGAGACAGGTTAATACCTAATGCTTACCTGTGCCTCCGCTTTTCCGTTTGTTTTGTGACAGAGGTCTCCCACATTTCTCTTCCTTCTTTAAAGTAGCAGTTGTCAAAATGCCCTATCCTTGAAGCCCTGAAGGGCTCTAATTGATGATTGCTTGGCCCCACCCCCAGTGTTTCTGATTGGTGGTGGTGGTGGGGGGGGGGCAGGCATAAATATTTGCATGTCTAAGGGTTCCCAGGTGGTCCGCATACTGCAAGTGCTGGAACCAGATGTTGAGAGAAAACACTGCTTTAAAGACTTCAATCTTTTGCAGAAAAATTAAAAAAAAAAAAAGCTGATGAACGGTCTATAAGAAAGACTTTTACATCTGATAGGCATTTACCACTATTTAAAATAGCGTGATCAGCAGGTGGCGTGGTGGTTGGGGAGCTGGATTCCCACAAGGCCAATTGTGGTTAGAATCCCAGACTTGGTGGCTTGTGCTACTCTCTCTGGTAAGCGCACGTGCCTTATAACAAATTAATAATAATAACAATAATAATAATAATAATAAACAAAATAAAAACAGTGACTCTCTATGTTGGCTACACAGTAAAAATCACCTGGAAGGCTTTAAAAACTATTGATACTTGGGACCCGTAGATAGCATAATGGTTATGTTGTTGGACTCTCATGAAGTCAATGGCAGTTCATGTCCTAGACTTGGGTAGCTTAAAACTCATGCCAGGGGTGTGTGTTTGCATGCCCGAAATCCTGGGAGGAGAATGGAGGAGAAGGGATTGTGGTGTGGCCTTCCCCAATGCGGGATGATTTCTTGTTTTCTGTTTCTCTCTCTCCGTCTCTCCAAGTACACACCCTGTAGCGAAAATCTCTCTCAAACAAAACAAAACAAAACAAAAACTGCTGATACCAGACTAATTAAATAGAACCTCTGGGAGGGTGTGCCCTGAGGACAGTACTTAAGTACAGAAGCTATTGGAAGATGTCCTTCTAGGAAACTTGTGGCATGTAGGTTAGCGTATTCATGCAAGAAAAGGGGTGTTTGTATCCTGGTACCCTACAATTGCATGTCAGCACTGCTTTCCACGTTTCTTGTCTAATTTGTTTTCCTGTCAACACACAAAATCGGTACCTGTCAAAGTATTAAACAGGACAGAAGAGGTTCAGTGTCAGTGGCAACTGCAGACGGCTGGCGTGCAGAAGTCTGTACTAGTCAGCTTCCGTGCCTAATGGTTCAGGGAGCCAGATCCCACACGGCCATCTGCAGTTTGAATCTTGCAGTCTGAACAGGTGTGTGTGTGTGTGTGTGTGTGTGTGTGCGTGCACGCGTGTGTAAGCCCACCCAAAGTCCTGACAGGAAAGATATATGGAGAAGGACTGCAATGTGGTCATGCTCCACTGGGTGTTGCTTTCTCCTCTCTCTCCTTCCTCTCTGCCCATCTCTCTCTGGCCAGTATATACACCCTTTGGCAATTAAATAAATAAGAGAAGTCTGTGCCAATGCAAACGAGATTCTCTGGAGAATTTCTTTTTTTAAAGAATTATTATATTGAGATTATTTTCATTTTACCAGAGAGGGATAGAAAGAGAGAAAGAAAGTGAGAAAGCAAGCCACTGGGTCCGGGACTCTAACCATGGTCAGCCATGTGGGAGTCCCAGTGCTCTTAACCACCACGCCACCTGCCCACCCCTGGAGAATCTTTTTAAAAATATATATTCCCTTTCACACCCCTAGGGATACTTATTTAGCAGATGTGTGGTAGCACCCTGGTACTGAACTTTTTTTTTTTTTTTAAGGTTTTTGCCATGGAGTGCCTGCACTAGCTGGAGAGAGACAGAGACAATGAGAGAAAAAGTGAGAACTCATCCCCTGAGGGGATGGCCACACCACAATCGTCTCTCCTTCATCCTCCTCCTGTGATTTTTGTGGGCATGCACGCACACACACCTGGCATGAGTTTCAGACTGCCAAGTCTGTGGTCAGTCATGTGGGAGTCCAGCACCTCAACCACCACACCACCTGTTGGCCCTGGGACAGTACTTTTGATAGGTGGCCCTTAAACCAGACTGAAAAATACCAGTAATGGAAAAACTGTGGGTTTGAATTTGGGGTAAAATCCCACTGCTGGTACATTGGGCAAGTTCTTTTTCTTCTTTCTTTCTTTCTTTCTTTCTTTCTTTCTTTCTTTCTTTCTTTCTTTCTTTCTTTCTTTCTTTCTTTCTTGAGATTTTTGCTCTTGCCAGAGAGACAGAGACAGATAGAGAGACAGAAAGCAAGAAATCGCCCCCCCCCCCACGCCCTTCCTCCCTCCCAGGGAGATGGCCACGTCTCAATCCCTTCTCCATTCTCCTCTCGGGACCTTGCTCGTGCACGCATACGCACCTGGCATGAGTTCCAAGCTGGTGGATCCAAACTCGAGCTGTGGTTGACCATGTGGGAATCCAGTGACGTAATCATTATGCCATTTGCTGGTACCCTTGGGCAAGTTCTTAACTCTCTAAATCTTAGTTTCCTCAAATACATAAGAATAATTTTGGGGCCAGATGGTGGCACATTGGCTACAGGACATTCTGCAGGCTGACCTACATGGGAAGGTTCCAGTCTCAAATTATGGGCACGCAGGTACCCATGATGCAGGGCTGAGAGTGGATCAGGGTGTCAAGATCCTGTTGCGGGTGTTGTCTGTCTCTGTTCTCTTTTGCTCATGGAGGAAATAAATATATACAAACTTAAAAAAAATAATGTTAATAATACCTACCTTGCAAGGTTGTTATGAGAACTGAAGATATCGTATCGTATACAAAGACTTAGTGGTTTGTATGGAACATGGTGGCTACCAAGCAAGTTTTATAAATTTTATGACAAAGTCAGGCTAGTGAACAGGTAAACTGCATTTATATTCTTCTGGTTCTTTTTTAACATAAAATTAAAAATCTGAGAAAGCTTAGTGGCTGGACAACACTCTCTTGGTTTCTTGAAAGAAATCCCTTGAAGGAAGGCTGATTTAAGTGTGTTCTGCCTTATGAATGTCGGATGGCTCGAGCAGTTTCTATGATTGAAGATGCTGTCTGCACTGTCACACTTCAAAAAAGGACCTCGCAATGAATTTCTCCTTAGGTTTAGCTCAATAAATAAATAAATAAATAAATAAAAATAAAAAACCTTAAAACTATCTTTAAATATCAAGGTTTTTTTTTTTTTTTTT